GAGGGACGTGGTGCCATGAGCAGTGCTACCCGGGCGTCCTGTCCACCGGTTCCAATGCGGGCGGTCAGGAGGGAGACGCTCAGGTCCTGCTCTTTGTAGCCGTGTGTCCCGCCATCGTCATGGGCGCATCCAGGTGGAGAGAGGTTATCCCAACGTGTGGATTGAGGAACGTGGTGAGGCCAGGCACCCCCACTGCCCATCCACTGCCCAGACCCACTGCCCACCCCCACTGCTCACCCACTGCCCATCAACTGCCCACCCCCACTCTATACACTCCCACTGGCCACCCCCCACTGGTCACTCCCACTGCTCACCCCCACTGTCCATCCCCCGTTGCCACCCCCAACAGCTCACTGCCCACCACCACTGTCCACAGCCCAATGACCACCACCACTACCCAACCCCGACCACCCAGCCGACACTCACCAGCGCTGCCCCCAGCAAAGGCGCCCAGGATCAGCGGGTACTTCTCATCCTTGTTCCCCAGCCTGAACGACTTATACTTGGCAAAGTGGCGGTTGCCCTGGAAGTCCACCAGGTCCACACGGAGCTCGTTGGTGCCTGCGGGGGGCAGGGCCTCAGTCCCGGGAGCAGGGACCCTGAGCAGGCAGGACGTGGGTGACACTCAGGAGACCTGCACTGGGCACCCAGGACGACCCTCGAGGTCCCCCAGAAAGTCCCGGTGGCTGAGGGGTGGGGGCACATGTTCCCACAGTCCGGAGCCAAACCCCCAGCCTTCCCACCAGCGCCAGAGAGAAGGAGGTCCCTCGGCGTTCGGGGGAAGGGGGTGTTGCCACAGCCTCGTGGAAGTGGCCGTCTCCCGTGTGTGTTCGGGGACAGGGCACGGTGGGCGGCGAGGGCAGGGCTGGGTGCTGGGCAGAACCCCAAGGAGGGCCTCCGTGTCCCCCCCCCGGGTTGGCCTCTGAGATGCCAGCGGCCATGGCCAGAGGAGGTCTGCTCCCCAACCCACTTCCTCAGACCCTGACGCCCCCCCCCTCCCGCTGGGACCTTCCTGTCCTCAGAGGCCGCACGTGTAGGGGCGCAGGAGCGGGCTCCCTCCAGGTGGCCCAAGTCGGAGGTTGGGGCAGGTAGGTTTCAGGCCCCACCCCAAGGCCGCGCCCGGGGCCCTACCCTGGGCGGTCAGGGCGTGGATGTGTTCGTTGCCCAGCCAGAACTCGCCCAGCTGGCTGCCGAAGCCCTGCTTGTAGGTGGCCCAGTCCCGGTAGAAGTCCACGGAGCCGTCCACCCTGCGCTGGAACACCTGGGGGAGGGAGACGGCGCTGCCGCCCTGCACGGCCCCGCCCACAGCCCAGACCCCGGGGGGACAGACGGCGCCCACGTGGGACCGAGGAGGACGTGGCAGCTGGGAGAGGGGAGGCCACGGCCCGGAGCCCACACCCGGAGCCACGGGGCTCCCTCGGGCCCCCTCGGGG